TGTTAAATACATATATTCTGACATATCTTGTAGGTATGCCAGCTTCTACATGTCTCCTCTGTCTTAAATCTAAAACGAAGTCATCCTATGCATGTGGTTGCATGTGGTTCATAAAATTCCCCAAAATCTTTGCTAGGGGTCCATGTCGGAAAAATGTAACAAATAATAAGGTTAACAGCCCAAGCCATACCAAACTGTCATAATTTAGGAGTCTTAGTGTGGAGAGGCTTTAGAACTCAGTGTTTTAAAAAAAGAAAAGAAAAAGCACGATGAAAATTAAAGGAAAGTTCAGGGTTAGCACGAAAATCTCAATAGATATTAAGGTAAAGTATAAATGATATTTTCTCTCTTAAACTAAAGCTTTTTTGCTCTTTGTCAGCAAAAAAAATCCTAAGAACTCTACTGTAGTTTTGTCTTATTGTATGGAGCTGTGTTGTCTAAAAGAATATGTCCTGGCTACATGTGGCTATTAAGAAGTTGAAATGTGGCTAATCTAAATTGAATCAGGAAAATTTAAGACTTCATATGAGTAAAATATCTCATTATTATCTTTATTATATGTTGAAATAATGTCTTGGACATATTGGGTTATTACAATTCTATTTTTTTATTTTTTCTAACATGGTTACTAGAAAGCGTAAAATTTCATATATGGCTTGCATTTGTTGCTCCATTATATTTTTGTGGGGCAGCACTGAATATACAGAATAAACAGTTTCATCCAGGGCTTGAACTGATAATTGGCATCTCTGAGGAAGAATTTCCGTATTTTTATTAGTCCCTTTAAGTTCTAATCATTCTATTTTGAATAGAGGAACAAAAGAGAAAGGATTCTAAAATTTTGATAACAGTATCACTGCATTCCAAAAGGGTTGGAAGGATATTGCTGTTTGTGAACAGATATTAAGGGGAGGTCTTGTATCACCGCATGCCAAAAGGGTTGGAAGGATATTGCTGTTTGTGAACAAATATTAAGGGGAGGTCTTGTTATAAAAAATAAGTCTCCAGGCTAGTTTCAAAAGAGAGGTTGAGATAAAGATAGCATCAAACTGCTCTGTATAAGAGAAATTCTCCATTTTCATCTGCAGCAGCTTGAGAAAAAGGGATTCTGGTACTTAGAATTTAGGAAAAAGCTAAATAGAGAGTCAGAGGAGGCCCCCAGGGAAGAGATGGACAATTGGGCTCAGGAAGAAAGGGGATCACTATGTGACTCTTGGCATAAAATGAACTTTAAACTTGAATAAAGATCAGCGTGGTACTGTTTTGTTTCCTTTTTTTGTGCTTAAGTCCCTTTTTATTTCTACAAGTCTTTGGTAATCTGTTTGTTGTTCATACAGCTTTCTGTTCATTGATTGTAAAATGATGGAAAGGAGCCATGTTTAAACACATGGCGAAGGTATATAGAGAGCAAAGAAGCTTCCAGAAGCAGTGATTAGATAGCACAAAGTGATCAAGATTTGAGCCAGGAGCAAAGCACATAAAATAAGGACAGTCAATTACCAACAGAGTTGTAAGCCCTTCTCAGAAATATTTAGAAAAACTGGGGAATGCACTCCTTTGAAGAAAAGGTATAAGGGAACAGAAGTAACATGAGTTCTCTCCTTGATGAGTAGAGACTACACCAGGTGAAGTTGTCACACAAAGGAAACTTTATTTACAGCAACTAAGGAGATCACTGAATAACTCCCAAAGCCATGACTCCAGGAGTGGGTTAAGTGGGTTTCTTTTATCTAGGGTGAGGATGAATCTTCAGAAATGGAAGCTTTGTCATTCATTTACAAGGAAAGGTGGGCATAGCATTGTGCAACCATTCTTGGAAAACATGCTTATACACCCTATGTTTAACATAACAATAGTCTGTTATGTTAATAAAGCTTGTGCTCCTCCTGCGGCGGCGACTTTAATACAATGAGCAGAGGTAACTACTGAACCAGGAGAAGGGACTATCAGTGTACTCAAAGAGCAGTTATAAACTGGATAGCATCTTGGGCTCCTTCTTTCAGGTAAGAAATGCAGGGCCTGGCTTACTTTTGAAACAACACAGGACTTTGGGGTAGTTTTACCACTCCTTTATTGTCTTTGATATGATTTGGCTATGTCTCAGCTTTGAGATGTTAGTTTTTACATTCTCTTTGTTTCCTTAAAAATCATTAACTATTGAGGTTTTTGCTTTTTATTTGTAATTCTGACACCTAGGAAGTTCTGTAAGAAGTGTGTTAGGGCAAGTTGAGGCAGTAAGATCACAGGAAATAGCTGAGGACCTAAAATGACTTATCTTTCTGAGGACCCCTACCTCTGTCTCCTTACAGGAGAAGGTTCAGGTTATTTCTTTTCTTTTTTAAAGATTTTATTTTATTTATTCATGAGAGACACACAGAGAGAGGCAGAGTCACAGGCAGAGGGAGAAGCAGGCTCCATGCAGGGAGGCCGACGTGGGACTCGATCCTGGGTCTCCAGGATCAGACCCTGGGCTGAAGGCGGCGCTAAACCGCCGGGCTGCTGGGTTCAGGTTATTTCATTTGCCTATTAACGTAAAGGGTGACTCTAGAAGACCAGGTAACTAGGTGTTGCAGGGTTTTTTCCTTTGGAGACCATGGGTCTTTGCTGCTTTGAAGAATGAAGAGGTAGACCAGAGAAAAGTGGTGGGCAGCAAAGCAAGGTTTATGGAGTGATAGCAAAATGATAGTACAAAGCTCCCAAAGAGGGAGGGGACCCAAGAGGGTAGCAATAGGACTTTCTAACTCTATGGGTTTTTATGGGCTTGTTAGTGGGCTGTTTTAATCAGATTAACCTTCCCTGTGCCTGTAATCCAATCAGGTTTTTGTCACCTGTCACATGGGAAATGAAGGAGGGCTCCTTCTAGGGTGGTATTAATTTCTTTTAAGGGTGGTTCCATTTAGGGTGGGGCCCCCTGTTCTTGCCTGGCTGCCTTCCAACTATCCTTCATGATAGGGAGTTATATTGGGTAATTATACATGTGGAATGAATACTCAGGAATCTTTAGCTTCTCACCTACTTCCAATTCCTATTTCAGACTTAATATGCAATGAGAAAATATAACTGACTACAGGTTCTAACTAGGTTTTTAAAAACACTATTTCAAGGTCAGAGTGATGAAGTTTTGGAATACAGGTGAGGTCTGGAGCCGACGACCAAGGAAAAATTCTTGAGACAACTTTGGTGCAAAAATGGTGGTTTTATTAAGGGATGGAGAAAGGATCTGTGGGCAGGAAGAGCTTCTGCCCAGAGCTTGTGAGGAGTGGCTGATTATATGCACAGGAGTTTAGGGGAGGTAAGCAAAAGGGAGATTCCAAAAGGATTTTCATATGCTAAGGATGACCGTACAAGATACTGGAGGCTTTCCATTGTCAAATTGAAGACTGCTTTTCCCTCTAGCAAGGCATTAGCATTAGAACAACTGGAAGCCTCGTGAGGAATGCCATACATATCCCACCCGGGGGTGGGGTGGGGTGGGGTGGTGGCTGTGTTTGTGGGTTATCAGCTGTGCTTTGTCCTAAGCTAGCCCTGTTCCCCCATCCAGAGGATAACTAGATGTAGAAGTGATGCACTCTTTATATAGGAACTCCCTTAAAACTTTAAATGTTCAAGTAATTTTTTTTCACTCATTCTCATATGACATTTACTGTATTATATTAGAAGATTATATGCTTAGGGCGTTTGTATGTATTTTTTACAATGACAATCCACAAAACACCAAACCTACTTGGACATCTTTCCACCATTCCTCACCTTGGTGGCCACTGAAGCAACTCTGAAGAACCCCTATAACCAGAATCATGGGTGTCTCATTTCATAAATAAAAATTAAAACCCATTCCTTTAAATGTTAAACTCGATTTAAATAATTTTTTAATAGGACATTTAAAAAACTGTAAAAAGAGGACTGTTCAGAGTTTTCTGAAAAGAAACGAGGGGTCACCTAGTATTGATATACCGTGATTGAATCCTGCCTCTGTATTTCTAATTCATAATTATCATTTCCCAAAGCCACTTTTGAAAACAAGGAGAAATAATGGCTAGCAGATACAACACCATTATTGGGACTACTGATTTAGGTCTAAATACAGCCATCTTTATCTAATTGGGTTTTATAACCTATTTTCTTTTTTTGGCCACATTAATCCTTAATTATTTTACAGCTAGGGTTTTTACTCTAGTCTTAATGAACAGACTTCAAGAAAAACTTTGAACTCTTTGAAAATGTATACAAAATACTGTTGTGTATCTCTGTTTTCCATTGGGAGGGGGAGGGTCCCCAAGATTATGATTTGTTGAAACCAAGCTATTTATTTTGAAAACTCAAATAATGTTAGTGGAAGACGCCATTCCCTGCCCTCTTCCTTCACCTTCGGAAGATTTGGCTCAACAAGAGGGGCTGAAAATGATTTGATCAATGTCCCATTGTTGGGCATCACACTTTGTACAGAAATCTTTTGAGAGTTCTCATTAGTTTTAAGATAAATTCCAAAGGGTAAGATTGCTGCACCAAAGGATGAGAAAATTAAAGTCCCAAAGATCACTTTACTTAATTTATTTTTAGTAATCTTTACACCCAAGGTGGCTCCGGAACTCAGGACCTTGAAATCGAGTCCCATCCTGCTTCTATTCAGCCAGCCAGGTGCCCCCACCCCAATTTTTTTTAGGTGCCCCCAAATTTTAATAGTCTTAATATATATTGTCTAATTGTTACCAAGTTATGAGAGTGCATGTTCACCAACATTGTGAAGACTTATCTCGGCTGTAGTAACTTTAAATCTTTAAAAAAAAATTGTGTATTATTTTGACTTGTATTTCTTACTTTCACGTATCTTCATATGCCACCAGCGAAACAAAGCGGTCCTGCCCAAAGAGAAATAAAATCCCCTTCCTTCCTTCCTCCCTCCCTCCCTCCCTCCCTCCCTCCTTCCCTCCCTCCCTCCCTCCCTCCCTCCCTCCTTCCTTCCTTCCTTCCTCCCTCCCTCCCTCCCTCCCTAACTTCCTTCCCATGTATGCGGTGACCATGATGGTAACAGCAGCTAACATTCATGAAACGTTAAAATTTCTCTGCAAGCAACAGGAGTCTAGTCTGCGCTTGACAGTTATTTTCTGGATCTCACTTAATCCTTAAAACAATTCCGTATTGTTATTCCAAACGAGACAACCCGGCCTTTGAGTCACTAGCCTCAAGGCCCGGCGACGAGCTGCAGCTCCGGGGTTCGGGCTGGGCTCTCACAGCGCTGTCACTCACCTTTCGACCTAGGGGACCAGGGGGTGGAGGATGGTGACCTATGCGCAAAAACCAGCAACACCAGACCAACCAGGAACAAAAGACAGGGCTCCTGCCGCACTTAGCTTCCTTCTACGAGGTCAAAGCTTCTAAATTTTAAATGATGTGACTTTTCGGCTGCCCAACGCCTGTCTACCCACCAGTTGATCCCACTCCCAGCGTCGCGAGCGTCAGCGACGACCGGCAAAGCTGTTCAGCTGAGGGTTGAGGCAGATAGGATTTTTTTTTTTCCCTTTGCTAAAGGAAAAAGCCTGACAGGAAGAAAAAAAAAAAAGGTTAATACTATTTTTAAATTTTCGAGGGCTAGGACGACTGACTGACTTTTTTTTTTTTTTTTTTTACCTCTGAGTCTTGGGAGACCAAGGCAACTGAACCTGCAGGTGAACAAATTAGAGCCGCCGCTGCGCTTCCGGGCTGCGGCCAAGGGTAAGCAGGGCGCATGCGTGGTGCACGCGCCTGGGTCGCACACCTACGAAAGCGCTCTGCGCAGGCGCGGACGCAGGTTGCCGCAGCCCCGGCCTCAGCTGATGCCGTCCTCTGGCCGCCCCTCCCCCGCCCCGAATCCGCGGCGGCCGGGCGCCTGCAGGCCTGTCGCTCCAGCCCCAGCGGTCGCGACTGCCGACCCCGTGACACTGTCCTCGGGCCTCTGCGCGCGGGAGCAGCTCCGGACGGCGCAGCGCCCCGCGTGACGGTGAGCGACCCTGGACGAGCAGCCCTCCCCCCCCCCGCCCGTCCCTCTTGCGGAGCGGAGCAGAGCAGCGCCCTGGGAAGAGTCGAGACGCACGGGGGGTGGGGGTAGGGGTGGGGGGGGGGAGAGGAGAGGCCGCAGGGGAGCCGGGCCCGCCCGCCACCACAGAGGCGCTTTCAGGGTTGGGTGATGGCGGTGTTGTGTCACCTCCTACCCGGACCCGGCCTCCTGCCCAGGGGGCCCCAGGCGTTGGCCCAACCCCGGAGCGCAGGGAGGATTCCAGGCCCTGACACCTTGCGCGGTCAGGAGGCCTGGTGTTGCTGTTGTGGAGTTTTCTTGCACGGTTGCCTTGCCCTTTAACCTCTCCAGAGTAGTCTGTGTGCCGAGTTTTGTTTACGTAGCTTATGGAAGGTGACGGCTGACTTCGTTATCGCAGAAGATCATGACCCTTTTAAATTGGATGGAGCGCTCTACTTTTTTTTTTTTTTTTAAATCTCTTTATGCTGCCTTAGATCCATGTTGGGTTTTCAGCAGGAGATTGTGAGGAAAAACATGGATTACAGGGAAGTGAAGGGGGCATAGCACCTCCTCATAAACGCACCGGCGAGTCTCCGGGAATAAAAGTGGTAAATGTTTCTTCCCTGTGAGGAAAATCCGGTGGGGGCGGGGGGGGGCGGGGCGGGGCGGGGCGGGGATACGAAGTACCTGACAAAAGTCTGGTGCCTGTCAGCTAGCCTTGCTGAAACAAACACCTGTCCGAGGCCGAGTCATCAAAACAACAGATAGGAATAGAAAACAGGCCCTTGCTGAGAGCCACTTGATCTTGATCTTGCCTTCTGTGTCTCCCCTCACCCTCCACCAAAGCATTCTGGTGCGGTGCACCTTACACGCCGGTCGTGTTCACTGAGATCCCAAACAGGATGCCTGAGACCTCACTACTGAGGCCTCCCATCCCTGTTCAGCTGATATTCCACATAGGTCAGTGTGTGGGAACAGTGATGTTAATTCACCCCTCAACTATTTGTGATTGGCAAGGGTTCGTTTGGCTTGGATTTATTTATTTGTGTTTTTTGTTTTTTTTTTGCTTGGATTTAATGTCATTGAGACAAACCAAGAGAAGATAATAATGCATTTGTGGAAATTACAAAATCATTTATGTTTTTGAACTTATATGGACAATGTATGTAGTTTGCTTTTTAATGGTAAAATTGTGAAAGTAAGCATCTTCATTCTGCAATTTTAAATTTGTCTCCTAGTTGTATGATTTTTTTATCCTGCTACATACGCTGTTTCAATGATACCAACACTTAGATGGCATGCCAGTATTAAAAAAAACTTTTCTTCATATGATAGTGTGACTTGAATTACTGAGTTTTCCTTACTCAAATCAATGAGAATTTTTAAAAGAAATGTTTATCTCTTCATATAAATGTCTATAATTATGTTTAGGAACTGGTAAAAGATACATGATCAAATTTAGAAAGAAGAAATGTTATTTTTAAATTAAGCTTTCCTTCTTTATTAATTTTCCCTCCGAATATCAGCAGATTGGATTATGACTTTTCTCTTCATCCTTAAAATTGTGTTACTCAACTGCAGTGCTATTGCATTACCTACATGCAAGGATTATTTTAGTATAGGTGTGGTCTATGTATAAGTACTACTACTTATTCTTACTTGGTTTTAAATTTATATTAAATATAAATTTAACCCGTTATTTTTTGATGCTATCATTAAAAATTTGAAATTAATGATCTAAATTTTGTTTTTTATATTGGTGAATTATATTAAATATCTTGGAATATTAATTTCATAATTTTAACTGCCAACTGTTGAATGAAAATAATCTGCATGATTGTTTTTTTTTTAGTTTTTGTTGCAAATGTTTAAACGTTAAGGCTAGAAATGTGAGAATGAGAAGAATTGTGGATTTTATTTATCACAAAGGGGAATGAATTTTATAAGGCTAAAAAATACTACTTTGAACTTATAACCAGGGTTTAGGGGCCCAAGAGAACCTGGCTCCAGGAGTCCCAAACACACCAGGTTCAACCACTCACCACTGACAAAATCCAAAAGCAAAGAGAGGAGTGGTGGTGAAACAAAGGAATTTAGTTCGGTGAGGCCAGCATGGGGAAGACAGCAGAATTAGAAAGTATAGCCTGAGGTCTAACTGGAGGTAGTTGTAGTCTTTCAGATTTACCTGGCTATACATATAATAGGTAATCATAATCTGCTTAAACCAGTTTTAGCATTTAGCACTAATTGGTTTAAAGATAGAATGTTTTTGTTTTATTTATTCTAAGAAAAGTGAAGCCCCCTTTCTTTTCAGAGAACCCTTAGGGAAGTGTAGACTTCTCATCATAAGTCTGATATATCATTTTATAATTTTTTGTCGGAAGAAAACTTTGGACTCCTGGCTCCCTTGTTTCAGACATTACTTTGATTAAATATAATTCTAATCAAAAATAATTTGAATATTCCCTTGCAGTTTGCTCTATATTAATTAGATTTGTATAAAAATCCCACAGTATTGAGTAATACTTTTTTCCCTAAAATTTACTGTAAGATTTTTCTTCTTTTAGACATGGGAAAGTCTTTTTCTCAGTTGCCTTTGCATTCAAATAAAGAAGATGCTTATGATGGAGTCACATCAACTGAAAGTATGAGGAATGGACTGGTTAATAATGAAGTCCATAATGAAGATGGGAGAGGTGGAGATGTCTCTCAGTTTCCATATGTGGAATTTACAGGAAGAGATAGTGTCACTTGCCCCACTTGTCAAGGAACGGGAAGAATTCCTAGAGGTATGTGTTGCTGTGTTGTTTTTCCTTTAAAGAGTAATTCCAGGCTTTCGCACAAGTAATATAAAATCCATAGATCTAAGCACAATCCTTTGTTTTAAAACTCTTTTATGATTAAAGTCAAAACTATGTAACAGTTGCCTTCAGTTAAAGGGACACAGAGAAACAAACATAAACATTTAGAAAAAAATACACAGGTTAAGGTTCCTAAAGAAGTCACGAAAACCACCCGTCTACCGCTAGTATTTTTTTCTTTCCCACCTGCAATAGCAGATACCTACTATCACTTGACTGAAACATTTTAGAACTATTTGGCATCAGTAGGGGGTCATAATCACATGTTGGGCATTAGGAACAATTTTAAGTAGTTTGGTGACCTAATATTTTTATTCATGAACTAAAGAATAGTAAGAAGCCAGTCATGCCCTAATTAGTCAGTATTAAGAGGAACTACACGAAGAGGGATGGTAAATGAAGATGGGCAATATGGGGGAAAAATCAGTTTGTGGTATATCATAGGGAAATCCATAAGGGAATAAATAATCTTCATGTGCTGTTTGTTGGCTAGACAAATTTTAGTGGCCACAGTGGAAATAATAAAAATACTTTGTGCTAATCTCGTTTTGTGCTTGGTTGAAGTTGATAGGGAACCCTGGAGAAACCATGAGGGAAGGACAACGTGACAATAGAATATACACCAGTTTCTAACTAACACCCTGGGTTGGGGAAGTTTATATATAGAGCGAGTTGGCCTTTTGAATGTGATGGTTTTATCTTTGCAGGGATAAGTAGCTGTTGGAGAATGAAAGGATTTTTCTAAGTGAAGGGATTAGTGCCTCAGGCTCAGAGGAGAGAAAAAAGGACTATTTTAGCAATCTGGATGTGTTTTTGAGGTATAGCCAATAGGCTTTTTGGTAGCCTGGAAGTGGATAGGAAATCAAGGATGACTCCGGAAAGTATTATTGTCTGAACAGCTGGAAGAATGGAAGTAGCTAGCTCTTTATTAGAATGGAGAAAAGATTTGAGTGTATGTGTACGTTCTGGGAGAGATCAGGAGCTCTATTTTACAGATATAATTCTGGAGATGCATATTTGACATCTAAGTGGATATATTCAGTAGGTAGGTAGTTATAATAAGTGCCTGGAATTCAAGTACAAGGCCTCTGCTATAGTCATCAGAATATAGGTGGTACTTAAAGCTGAGTTGGATGAGAGTACCAAGCAATCAGTGTAAATTAAAAAGACACCGTAGTGCTGAACCATAGGGCTCTGTGACATTTCAAAGTCAGTGATATGAGAAAGATTTAGCAAAGACAATGAAAAAGCAGCCAAAGGAGAAGGAGGAAATTCTAGTGTGTCTGGTGTCCTGGAAATAAATGTAGGAAGTGTACTAAGGAGGAGAGACTAGGGGATGGGGGGAGTGGCTCAGCGGTTTGGCACCTGCCTTTGGCCAAGGGCGTGATCCTGGGGACCCGGAATCGAGTTCCGCATAGGGCTCCCTGCATGGGGCTTGCTTCTCCCTCTGCCTGTGTCTTGGCCTGTGTCTCTCATGAGTAGATAAATAAAATTAAAAAAAAGAGAGAGAGAGAGTAAGGAACTGTTAGATGCTACCAACAGATCAGATAATATAAGGACTGAGAACCAACCATTGGATTTGATGATATAGATACAGACTAGTGGACACCTTTAAAAGAACAGCTTGGCAAGTTGCTTAAGCATGTATAGCATGTACAGAGTGGGATCAAGAGAGCACAGGAGGAGTGAAGTTATATAGTAAAAAAAATTTTTGAGTTTTAATATATATATAGTATATATAATAGTATATATAGTATAGTGTATAACAGTATATATAGTATATATATAGTATGTATAATAGTATATATATAGTATATATATATTCTTTATATATAAAGAAGAAGAGTGGTGGTAGCTGGAGGGAGCTATGAGGCCAGGAGAGGGAATTTTTTTTTAAAGATGGAGTGAATAATATGTTTGATGAGGAAAAATAATGGATAATGCAGGAGATGGGAGAATTATTAGATGTAGGGCACAAGTTTAAGTGACTGCTCTTACAGAGGAGCACCTACAGTTTACTCTTTGTAATAGGAGAAAAGGTAGTACATAGATACAGAAATAGGTGGGTGGATGTGGTAGTGGGAGCTTGTGAAAGTTCTTTCTTGTTTACCACATCATGGGCTAAGAGTGAGGATATGGAAGGAGCTATTGGCAACTTGAAGCAAGAGGTGAAATTACAGAATTGTGATTTTGGAGAGGCAAGTTGAGAGTGTGAACTAGGGAGTATTGTATGATGGTTGACATCATTAAAGGCCACTCGAGATTAGTGATCTAAACAAGGCCAGTGAGCAGAGTTGCATATTTTTCTCTATCCACATTTAGCTATATGGATATCAGCATATTAGCTAAAAGATTTCTTTCAGGGCAGCCCCGGTGGCACAGCGGTTTGGCGCTGCCTGCAGCCAGGGGCGTGATCCTGGAGACCCGGGATCGAGTCCCACATCAGGCTCCCTGCATGGTGCCTGCTTCTCCCTCTGCCTGTGTCTCTGCCTCTCTCTCTAGCTGTGTCTCTGTGAATAAATAAATTAAAAAAAGAAAGAAAAAGATTTCTTTTAAGCAGGATTGTAGTTTAGCCAAATGAATACCCCCAAACAAGACAGGATACATGTACATACAGAGAGAAAAAAATATATATATAACATATATTTACCTGTGGGTGTGGGGAGGTAGTTGCGTACATGAGGGGAGAGTTGTAGAAGGGGCATGGAGGAATAATGGAAGCATTATAGGAAGCTTAAAATAATTTGATTATAGTGGTTTAAGAGTTAGTACAAAGAGCCACGTTTCTGATAAGATTGAAAAATTGTTTTTTAAAGATCTATTTATGCATTTAAGTATATGGATATAGCCCAACCTAAGAAATAAAAGATGGATTTTAAATTGAGTTACCGTAGATAGTGTGTGGCCTGTATGAGTTGTGGAAGCCTCATTTTGTATGCACTCTTAAAGCATGAGACTTGTTATATGTCAGTTTTGGTTTTCAAGGGGCATAGTATAGTAACCTCTAGAGAATTTTAGGGCATTAAGGTAGCAATATTTCTTCTGTTCTTATCCAGATAACCAAATCAGAATCTACATGGAAAATAGTTGAAAGAAGTCTTGGTAAATTCAGATCTACTGAAAGCTGGGACTTTCAGTAAACAGATTACTCTTTCTCATTCTTTGTATTATTTGTAGTCATAGCTAGACATCCAAGCTATGAAAAATATGTTATCTGTTTGGAACTCTGTGTCTACTAGATAAGTTTTGAAAATTTTGAGAGCAGTTTACCAGAGAGAGAAGATGAGACCCAGATTTTGGTAGAAAGCCACTGTATGTTATGTTAATAAATTTCTAAACCTTTTACTTTTAGGGCAAGAAAACCAGCTGGTGGCATTGATTCCATATAGTGATCAGAGATTAAGGCCAAGAAGGACGTAAGTGATAAAAAAAAAATAGCAAAATTTTTTAGTATTTTTTGCTTTTCAAATTACATATAATTACTCTAACAGTATCAAAATGAAAAATGCTATCAGGTTGTTAAATTATGCCATCAGATGCTTCATGTCATTAAAAAAAGGATTTCTGATTTGGGGTAACGTCTTCAAAGCAGCTTAGTGTCTGAATCTTCTCAGATCTATTTACTAAAACAGACAAACCTAGAATAGCAGTAGGAAACACAGAAACATTTTCATCAAAAAATGGGTGTTAAGGTTCTTCTCCTCATCCCAGAATAAAAATGGAGCAAGGATCAAAGCATGTTAGTAGCTGTGTAGAATTTGTGAAGGGAACAAAGAATTGCTGAAGGTCCTGAGAACCCTGATATACAAAGCAAATGTTCTGATACATAATTCCCAAAAGAAGAGGATACCACACAGAGCACTTCCAGCAAATGCTTCTGGATAACCTGTCAAAATGGGAGGACTCTTGGTGTTATATACCTTGGAAAAGAGTGTAGAAAAGGCTACAGAGATCCACTAACGGGCCTTAAGAAGATCAGAAGGAACTAGACTACTTTGATCTCTCAAAGACCTTGGGAAAACTCACCAAAAACTCTTTCAAAAGGACAGACATATCCTAAGGAAAAGCCTGCTAGGGATTGAATCCATTTTGTTCAAAGAAAGAATAGGGAAAAAAGAAAAGTTTCAAAAAGTAAAGAGAGAATCTCAGAATTATAGAAGTGTTTATACATCTTTAAAAAAAAAAAAAAAGAACAACTTTGTATTCCAATAGAAGGAGTTTTGAGCAGTGAAGCTAGGAAGGCCACCCTGGCCCATCTTCATCATCTAAAATGCAAGTTTCTGTTAAAGGTACAAAAACATGTCCTTTAAACATAAGCAACAAAAAAGTATTGCAATGAAGCATCATACAAAGACAGTTAAAAAAAAGTGGGGATCCCTGGGTGGCTCAGTGGTTGAGCGTCTGCTTTCGGCCCAGGGCATGATCCTGGAGACCCGGAATCGAGTCCCACATCAGGCTTCCTGCATGGAGCCTGCTTCTCCCTCTGCCTGTGTTGTGTCTCTGTCTCTCTCTCTCGTGAATAAATAAAATCTTAAAAAAAAAAAAATGAACTGAAATAAAATGCTGACCGATAGTAGAAGCATATCAGGAGACATGAAAACTGGAACTTAATATTGTAAATTATTCTAAAAGAAATTAAGAAAACTATGGAAGCTATGAAAGAATTGCAGGAGTTGTAAATAGAAAAGCTCATAAATGAGATGACTAAACAACATGAGGACATGGAAAGACTATGAACCTTGAATTAGAAAAAATTAATTTCAGAAATGAAACCAAGGAAATGAAAACTGGTAGAACACAAGTGCAAATTGTAAAGTATGGCAAAGGAAGTAGAAGTTACAAAGGAGGAAATGAAAACACAGTTAATGAAGAGTAAGATAAAATGGTATAGAACACAAAGAAGATTGAACACACATGTTATTGAAGCCTCTGAAGAAAAATCAAAGGAATCAAACTGAACAAATACTAAACATCCAGTTCAAGAACACTTCTCTAAAGTAAAACAAGACATGAACTTCAAAATATTCTACCCATCCTAGTGAAATGACTGGACTTTGAAGGTTAAAAAAAGAAAGAAAAAAAAACTCAATAAAACCAGGCAAAAGGATTAATTAATTTATATGGGACAGAAAATCAGATTAGCATGCTTCTTCTTGACTGCAGTGCTCCAAACAAGTAACCAGTAGAGCAGAATATTTAAACATTCATAAAGGGGTGCCTGGGTGACTCAGGTAGTTTAGTGTCTGCCTTCAGCTCAGAGCATGCCTCAGGGTCCTGGGGTCGAGTTCTGCATCGGGCTCCCTGGTCAACAAGGAGTCTGCTTCTCCCTCTGTCCCTCTCCCCAGCTTGTGGTCTCTCTCTCAAATAAATAAAACCTTTGAAAATAAATAAATATCTATGGAAGGAAAATGAACCAGGGATTTTTAAAAGTCTATAGTAGATGGTTATGAATATTCAAGAAATTAGGCTTAATTCCTCTAAATCTTAGGATGAAAAACCTTTTCTGCATATGATTCAAAATCCAGTGAGGAAAGAAAAGATGGAATTCATCTTACAAAGCATAGATTAACTTTTATAAGATGAAAACAAAAACCTTAATTAAAGCCAGAATATAAATGGCAAGCTGGGAGTGATGTCTGTACATTATCACAGATATTATGAATGACTAGTCCACAAGAAAGAAATACAGATGTCTTTTAAACATGGGAAAAGATGTTCAGTCTTATAAGAGAAAAACAGATTAAAACAACATTGAAATACCACTTCTTATCTACCAGATTAGCCAGAACTCCAAATTTTGACAGTGTTTTGTCGGCAGTACTGTGTGAAATGAGCACACACATACCTTGTTAGTAAAGGGGGATTTGGCATTATCTCGGAAAATTACATATACATTGACCCTTTGGCTAAGGAATTCTACTTTGAAATTTTTTTTCTAAGGATAATTGTCAGATATAGTCAGTGGCTTTTGTGAAAGTTATCCACTGTGCCAATGTTTGTAATAGCAAAAGACTAGAAATAATGTAAATGGCCAGTGATGAGGTTCTAGTAGAATAAGTTATGCTACATCTATACGATGATGAAATGAGGGAGAACTCTATATTGTACTACTGTTGATATCCAGAGTACCTTTTTTTCTGAATAAACACATGCATACAGAGAAGGAGAGAGAAACAGTGGAAGGATAAACCAAAGGCTTATAAAACAATTACTCTGAGAGTTTGGGAGGGAACTAGGAAGGGGGAACAGGTAAGCAAGTGAGCTCTCTGTATGAATATGTATTTATATTGTTTGGACTTTAGAAATACATTTTAAAAAAAAAAAAAAAGAACTTAAAAGTTGAAATCAGAAGGAAAAAGAAAAATTCCTAAAAACTGAAACAAATGATTCTAACTGAATTCCAGTTGGTGGCATAACCACAGATCAAAGAATCACTTTTTTTTAAAGATTTTATTTATTTGTCAGAGAGAGACTGTGCACAAGCATGGGGAGCATCAGGCAGTGGAAGAAGCAGGCTCCCCACTGAGCAAGGAGCCCAATGAGGGAATTGATCCCAGGACCATGGGATCATGACCTGAGCCAAAGGCAGACGCCACCTAGGCACCCCTGAAAGAATCACTTTTAAGTGACTTGACAGTATTTCATTTTGACTGTCAATGTCTAGTAAGACATGTTCTAAATGACAAAGACAACTAAAAACAAAAGTTTAAACTGCACTCAATAACTACATTATTAGAAGTAATGTTAGTATCATTTTGAAACTAATACATAAAGCAGATAGTTATGTACTAATGCCATTAGGGAACAAGATTCTTTGCATAAAAACAAAGGGCTACAAATACAAAATCAAATAAATTTGATTTTTTACTTCTAACCAAGATGGAATCCTTATAGGCACTAGACTTATTTTTCTGTATAAAACAACTAAAAAACCAGACAGATAAATGAAACCATATTTTTGGACAATAGGCATCAGTCAGTACAGGACAGTGGTATTTGAGAAAGGAAAAACAAATAAGGGAAGTCCTACAATTGTATCACCTTAATGTCTAGGGAAAAATATCAGACCACAGCACAATGGAAAGAGCCCAGACAGAGTTTAGCAGTGCCCCTAAACTGAGGAGATAAATGGTAATGGGAATCTAGGAGGCCAAGACCAGACTTAATAGGACATAGTACTAGACAGTAGAGAGCCACACTGGGTATTCCTTGAGTGTTTAGCTGAGTACTGATCAGTGTATGTGTATAAGGAAAGTATCTGAGACTGAAGGAAGAAACACGCAAAACAGGACAGAGGGAACAATCCTCAGAGCCCACATAGGGCTAGGGATAGTTTCCACCAATCACTATGGAAAATTTCATAATTCATAGGGAATTGTGTAGAGTACTCAGGATTATTTCCGCAGTAACAGAAAAAACAGTAGTAGATTAAAAGCTGTAATGCTCATGCTTAACAAAACCCAAGAGCAGACCTTAAAAGGTTCAAATTGTTTTCAAGAAACTCCACTGTACCCCATACAAAACTCAAGAATATATGCAGGAATACTAAAATATTCAACACTCAACATGGCAAAATACATGAGTCGGCATCCAATTAAAAATTACCAAGCATGGAAAGAAGATGAAAGATGTGGCCCATAATGAGGAGAGTTCACTTATAGAAACAGACCAATAAATGACATAAAGTGACATGCAAGACATAGAAAGAAACAAAGGTGCTGCTGTGGAGTTATTTGTTGGAGAAATCAGGAAAATTGTATTTTGAAACCCTAGTTTGGAGGGTAAACTTGAGGATGGAGGCGGATCCCTAGAGATTGGAAATAAAGAGCGAGAAAAAGAAGAGCTAGATTTCAAGGGGAATTTGAAAAATAGCAAAGGCATAGAAAGTTTATTTTTTTCTTGTCTTATATCTGCATAATATTACCCCTTTCCTGATTTTCAAAAAACAGCTTAACAACATCATCAAAGCAGAGTTGATTAATGTCAACAGTATTTTAAAAACTGGAGTACATAAATACTTTGGAATGAGAGATTCAAAGTGTTAGTGCGACTTGGAGAGATTGATGAGGCATGTGGTTATGTCATTATGTTTTTAAGGATTTCACAGGTTCTGATGAGCCGTCACTTTAGGGAATTATATAATGGCAAAACCCACATGTGAAAATTCTGCTTTAGTGAATTCAGAAGGGAGTCTTGAAGTCTATTTTTTTTTATATAAAGTTCCTCAGCTTAATTAATTATAGTGTATAGCCTGGTTTAGGAATTACTGTAGTAAATATTCTACCTACAATAGCCCTGAAATCCCAGTCTCCAAAAAGGTACATATGTCTTTTAAGGAGGATATTTTAACACTTAATAGACCAAACCCAATCCTACTAAATATTTTTATAATACAAAAAGTTGGTAAAATTGTACATCTACTGCAAGTATAATCGGGAAAATTCAAGTTGAAAATATCTTCTCTAAATGTTTTTATTATGTACTTTTTGATGCACATGTATTTCAATACTCCATTTTTCTTTTCAGAAAGCTGTATGTGATGGCTTCTGTGTTTGTTTGTCTGCTCCTTTCTGGATTGGCTGTATTTTTCCTTTTCCCTCGCTCTATTGACGTGAAATACATTGGCGTAAAATCAGCATACGTCAGTTATGATGTTCAAAAGCGTACAGTATATTTAAATATCACAGTAAGTACAAATTTACGTTAAATATTTTACTATATTCCTTTATGATATTAAGTATGCCTTTGTCCCTTTAGAGAATATTAAATGTGGCACTGGTCAGTTTGCTTCTGTGTGTCTGCTATTGATCTTTATCATTTCTGGTTCTGCTGAAAATGGCAAATAGTACTGGCAATTGTGTATACAGAATCATTTAAGCATTTGAAGTTGCCTTTAAGATGGTAAAATAAACAATCTTGGGCAAAAAAATATTAAAACAGTTTGTTCACTTTTCAACATTTGACTTCAACTAGCTTCTAGCAAAGTGTTAAAATAATTGATTCTATAAATGTTATAAATATACCATTTTCTTTTCCTTGTATTTGGTGAAGTACAGGTTTTTTTTTTTTTTTTTGTCTTTTGTCATTTTACCAGACTATTCCTTTATGGTCTTGAAAGATAAAGTATAGATGACTGTTTGATTTCTCTTATAAATTAGTGAGTGGGAAAATATCCACAGTATTTTCCTGGACAGTGGTGTTTCAGTACTCTACAGCCTCCCTACTCCTGAAAGCAACAAACAAACAAAACCTCAGAGAAGGTCTGCCTATTTACCTGTTAACATTTGTTTGAAAAGAAGCATGGTTTGCAAACCACTAAATAATTAAAAAGGAAAATGTGTATTGGTCATGCCACAAGGGTGCATCTGTATGGCAGTGGTTTGTTGGGAAGAGCAATATTGGACTCTAGTTGGTTTTCCTTGCAGGGGTGGTTCATATACTTGAGGTAGAAATAGAGATACATCTGGTTGTAGTTGTGAGGAGAGAGGTTTGGAGGGACAGGAGTATAGGGGAATGGTATGTTAAAATGGAATTGCTCATTAATTACAGGAGAAAAAGAACTCTCCTGGGTCCATTTACCCTCATTACTTACCACCAAAAGTTGTTAATCTACGGGCTTAAAAAAACAACTGCATCAATGGAAAAAAATGTGCATAAAACAACATAATGCTAATTATAAATCATTTCATATGACTGGTGAATAATTGTTGACTATTTTCTCACTCTATTTATTTTTTAAGATTTTATTGATTTATTCATGAGAGACACAGAGAGTGGGAGGCAGACATAGGCAGAGGGAAAAGCAGGCTCCATTCAGGGATTCCAGTGTGGGACTTGGTCCCCGGACTCCAGGATCACGACCTGAGCCAAAGGCAGATGCTCAACAGCTGAGCCACCCAGGCGTCCCATATTTTCTCACTTTAACAGTCATCTGGAATGAGAATTGTATTTTTCTTTTTGTACAGTGTTTAAGGCAGTGGCCAGATTTTTCTTTTGGCCAGCCTCTGAAACTTGTTTTAGTATCAAATATTATAAATTCATAATAAAAGATTAAAAAGTCCTATGATGTTCCATTCTAAATATAAATATATTTAGATGTAAATATACTTTATTTTCAGTAAATATTCAAGAATTCCCACTTTTTGGGATGCTAACACTTAGAACAGATGAACATTAAATAAGAAATAACATTATTATATAAGATAAACATTAAGCTTGACTGGATTACCGTGAGATGAGGTTGAGTTTTCCATAGGTTCTCTATCAGTATTTTGAAAAGTGGATTATATAATACTGCTTTTGTTTCTTAAAATGAATATACATTAGTACTGCTTACTCTGCTTTAATAACTTTTGGCTTTCTGCTTATGAACATATTAATCATTGTAATACATTTGAAAAATACTGTGATGTATATTTTTACTTCTACCTAGATCTAACTATAAATATATGCATATATTTGCTAATAATGCATGTATATATTTGCACACTTATTTGCATTTAGAAATGTAGTCAGGTATTTTCATAATGTATATAAGGGATACACACATGTATAAGTGTATACACATGCACAGTTTACCTTAAGTGAAATCTCACTAAATTTTCCCATATTAAGTGCTTTCATGTAGTCTTTTATATGGATGTATTACAATTTACTCAACCATTTCTTAGTAGATGTTTAATTTTGCTATTATAAATATTCAGAAAACATCTTTGTACTTTGTTTCCATTTCAGGTTACTTCTATAGGATAGATTGCTAAGTGTAAATTTGCTAACTAAAGATCACAGATCATTTAAGATCTTTGATAATAAGTCATCATTACCTAAAAGTTTATTTTATTTTAAGATTTTATTTATTCATGAGAAAGAGAGAGAGAGAAAGAGGCAGAGACACAGGCAGAGGGAGAAGCAGGCTCCATGCAGGGAGCCCGTTGTGGGACTCGATCCAGGGTCTCCAGGATCACACCTTGGGCTGAAGGCCGTGGTAAACCGCTGAGCCACCCAGGCTGCCCTACTTAAAAGTTTATGACTGTGATCTCTTGACTTACAGATTAAGTGGATTCTCATTGCTCTCAGCAACAAAATGTCTGATAATACTAAACTTTCTGTCTTGGTTTTTTTTTTTTTTTTTTTTTTTGGCTGTTGTTTTTTGTTATCTTTTTAATCTTCGGTACATTAGAGGAACTACTTTAGGGACGCCTGGGTGTCTCAGTGGTTGAGCGTCTGTCTGCCTTCAGCTCAGGGCATGATCCCGGGGTCCTGGGATCAAGTCCCATGTCAGGCTCCTTGCATGGAGCCTGTTTCTCCCTCTGCCTATGTCTCTGCCTCTCTCTCTATGTCTCATGAATAAATAAAATCTTTAAAAAAAATCTTCAGTACATCTTTTTCTAATTCTTGTAGTTTTGTTCTCAACCTGTTTTGCATCATTGATCCCTTCACTATTCTACTGAAAGCTATGGACACTTCAGAGAAAGAAACATACCAGCATTATTTTGCATGTGCCAAGGATTCCAAGATTCTTCTGAATCCCTTTGGCGTGTATCAGAAAGTCTATTGACTTCAAATTAACAACCCTTCCCTGTAGTGTTTAGAAATTAAATTGACATGGGTAATAAGAGCTAAGTAGATGAAACTATATATTTAGATAAAGGTTATTTCTACTATTTTATGGGATTTAAAAATTCTCTATAACTATAAATTAGTGCATAAATGAGGTCACAAAATCACTGATTGCTAGCATATTCTTTTTTTTTTTTTTAAGACTTTATTGAGAGAGAAAGCTAGCAAACCAGCGGTGGTGGGAGAGGGAGAGGTAGAGAGAATGAGAAGAGCAGACTCTCTGCTGAGCAGGGAGCCCAAAAGCAAGCTAGTGGGGCTCCATCTCAGAACTCCAGGATCATGAGCTGAGCCCAAGGCAGACAATTAATTGACTGAACCACTTAGGTGCCCCTACCATGTTCTTTTTTTTAATCCTTGTTTACTGAGACTGTTGTTTCTTTCCATTTACTCCATATGGCATTGTTCTACCTTTTTCCATATTCATATTAATTTATAAGCTCACATTTAGCTTTTTTTTAGTTTAATACTTATTTTCAAAGAATAATATTTTGTACATATTTTATACATGTTGGTTTTCTCACCTGTTAATACTTTGTAGAAATCTCTCCTAATTTTCTGGTTTAGAGTTAATATCTTCTTTCCAGTGGGCCACATAATATTCCATGTAATGATTTAATGCTATTCGGTCATTTTTGTGAATGGGCATTCACTTTGTTTTCAGTTTTTTTTGTTTGTTTGTTTAGGATGTTACTGTCATTAACATCCTAATGTTTTTATTTCTTTAGAATAAATGCTCAAAAGTAGGATTGATAGATCACAGGATATACATTATTTTTATTTTAGTGGGTATTGCTAGTTTCCTTATTTGAATGGTTGCAAGGCTTCACATGTTTTCCAGGAATGTAAAAATAGACCCTTTTGCTTATATCCCTGTCAGGAATAGAATTTGTTGCTTTCTACAAGTTTTACTAGTGTAATGTATCTAAAGCAATATTCTGTACTAAAATCAGCTTTTCCTCAACCATAAATGAATTTGAGAATTTTTAAGTGTTTCTTGGCCATTTATATTTGTACTCTTTTGATTTGTTTACTCATGCTTTGCTCTTTTTTCCTTTTAAGGTTTTGTTGTTTTGTTTTGTTTTGTTTTGATTTTTTTTTAAAGATTTTATTTATTTATTCATGAGAGCCACTGAGAGAGAGACAGGCAGAGGGAGAAGCAGGCTCCATGCAGGGAGCCCGATGTGAGACTCGATCCCGGGTCTCCAGGATCAGGCCCTAGGCTGAAGGCGGCGCTGAACCGCTGAGCCACCCGGGCTGCCCTCTTTTTCGGTTTATAAGGACCTTTTGTTTAGATGATAACCATTACAATCTGCCTTACAAATATTTATCATTTAGTTTCTGTTGATATCCTTTCGTGATGACTATTCTGGATGTTTTATTTATTATTTTTTGTCTCTTGATTTAACATTTTTTCTTCATTGGTCATTTTCTAAAATAATTTAAGATAATCATTATGAATTAGAATTGCAGAAGTTGCCCCAGCTATTAAGCATAGAAATATATAGCTCCATTTTTTTTGCAACAGACTTTGAATGTATCGCATTTCTTCCTCAAAGTGACCCAGTACGAATCTCTACTCAGAAGTTAAAATCCAATTTCTTTTAAACAAAATTCATTTAAAGTATTATTTAACATTTTAAATGGTCATCTTTGTGTTTAGTAGACTAGGAAGTAGCTTATTAATATTGACTGTGAAGATATTTATATATTAACATTTATCAAAAACTTAGGTGAAACTTAAAAAATTTTTTAATAGAATTTTTGCTAAGACTACAAATAGATTTTCTAACATTCATTTTTCTATATTCCTGTACAATACACTTTTTGGACTTTTTATTGTGTTTATTATCAGCATATAATATACATAGTACTCACCATAAAACCAAATAAGCAGTTCCTTTAATGTCCTTTGATATTTTTGGCAGTACTTTTCTTCCTCCTAATAACTGAAGCATGGCCACAGCTGAAGTCTTTATTTTTTTGAGGTCATTTAAAAAATTTATTTATTTTTAATTTATTCATGGGAGACAGAGAGAGAGGCCAAGACCTAGCAGAGGGAGAAGCAGGATCTCTGTGGGGAGCCTGATGCCGGGCTCCATCCTCCATCCCAGGACCCCAGGATCATAACCTGAGCCAAAGGCAGACACTCAGCCACTGAGCCACCCCAGTACCCCTAAAATTAATTCTGAGTACATATTTGTTATGTTTATACATTTTTTATCTTTCTTTTGCAGAACACACTAAATATAACAAACAATAACTACTATTCTGTTGAAGTTGAAAACATCACTGCACAAGTTCAATTTTCAAAAACAGTTATTGGAAAGGCACGCTTAAACAACATAACCAATATTGGCCCCCTGGATATGAAACAAGTAAGCTTCCATCATGAAATACTTTGGAGGAGTTAAATGAATCTTGACTTTGTCTATCATATTAACTTGAGTCAAGGGGAGGTGGGGAGATTTCCTTAAAAACCCGACCTTGACATGTGTCCCGTCCATGTATAAGAGAAAGTCTTAGAATCAACTTTGCAAAGGGAGAAATTTCTAAAGCTTGAGATTATGTATGAAATGTGTCTGCAATACTTGACTCTTTGATCCTCTTTACAGTTGGCTTATTTTCATTTTTTGCTTTTCAGATTGATTATACAGTACCTACTATCATAGCAGAGGAAATGAGTTATATGTAGTAAGTTTTAACTTTTAATCATTTTCTCATTAAATTATAAAGTATGAAGAATAAAGTATATGGACATGGAAACCACATTTGGAATAATCCTATTGGCCTCTGATTGTTCTCTTTGCCCTTATCAACGTACATAATATTTATGTACATTATGTACCTATATACTTAATATTTGTTTTTTACTTATTTTTCAGAATTAAGATATTCTTACACATTTTAGTATTTGTTGACTTTTTAGTGTAAGAGAACTAAAAAAAATACTAGTAATTTATAATACTCTATTATTGGTTTGAAGTTCTCAGGCTTTTCAGTTGAATCTAACTGATTATTGACTCTTACTGAGTTAAAAAAAAAAAAAAGGGATAAGGGACACTTGGGTGGCTCAGTGGTTAAGCATCTGCCTTCAGCTGAGGGCGTGATCCCGGAGTCCCGGAATCCAGTCCAATATCGGGCTCCTTGCATAGAGCCTGCTTCTCCTGAGTCTGCCTCTCTCTGTGTCTCTCATAAGTAAATAAAATCTTTTTTTTTTTTTAAAAAAAGAAATTTTTATCACCTTTATATCAGGCTTACATAGAATTTCTAAGTAATAGACTACTAAAATTTCAAAAAGTGAGTAAAAAGTAGCAATGATTTGTAGCCTGGGTTAAACAGCTCTACAAGTTCTATAGTAGGAAAGCATGTCTGTTTTTAGAATAAAAAGTCATGAAGATACTTACCATTATTTGAGCTATAGAAAGTTTTGAGTCAATAAATGCTTTTATCTTTTTTTTTTTTTTTTTAAGATTTATTTGTTTATTTTAGAAAGAGAGAGAGCACTCAAGGTGGGAAGGGAGAAGATGGGGGAGAAGGAGAAGCAGACTCCCCTCTGGCAGGGAGCCCGATGGTGGGCTGGATCCCAGGACCCTGAGTTAATGACCTGAGCTGAAATCAAGTCAGATGCTTAACCAGCTGAGCCACCCAGGCACTCCACTTATATCTTCTTTATAGTATCTCTATTAGTTGTAACACAGGAGGAATCATAATTAAATGATTTTAAATTTATAATATAGCCTGCATTTATTCACATCTTTTTTCTTTTTAACAGTGATTTCTGTACACTGATATCCATCAAAGTGCATAACATAGTACTCATGATGCAGTAAGTATGAGTTTTTTTTTAGGTATTTCTTTGTTAGATTAAGATGTATAACATTGGCTTATAGCATATGTAACGCCTTTACAAATATCAGTTCAATTGAATTTTGAGCCCTATAAAAGTTCTATGAGGTGAGTAAATATTCCACTTTACAAATGATGAAAAGAGGAGCTCAAGGAAGAAATGAAGGATGACATGACCACTAAGCAGTGAATCTGGACCTTGCAAGAATGCTGGAAAATGGGGAGGGGGTTGGGACAGAGAGGAGGACTGCCTGTAGTAAATAATCCTTAAAAGTAATGAGAAATACTGTTACTCGTTTGAAAGATGGGTATTATTCAAAGCCATTAAAAAATTGTAGGTTATAGGTTTGGTGTTTGGGTCATTAGCTGACATCTAAATAATCCTTTTCCTGTGATAAGAGAACTATATGATTTTTTTTAAGATTTTATTTATTTATTTGAGAAATAGAGCAGGAGGGAAAAATAATCTGAAGCAGACTCTGCTGCTCTGCAGACTCTGCTTGGAGTGCTCAATCCCATGACCATGAGATCATAACCTGAGCCAAAACCAAAAGTTGGATGCTTAACCAACTGAGCCACCCAGCCACTTCTATAATTATTTTTAAGAGTGAAATGAATGTATTTTTATTTCATGATAAGTGTTCTGGAAACATATTTTGCTTTGTATAATTATTTGAGTAAGGCTTGCTAAACCAGCATTTATGTTTTCTGTTAGGGAAATAGTCCCCAAGAGGTCCACATCCACAAAATTATCATTAATCAGTCTCTGAAGAAAATTTTGATATATAGAAGTATTCTCAGTTTAGAAAACGTTTTTATATATATATTTTTTTTTCGTTGTTTTCTTTTTTAGAGTTACTGTGACAACAACATACTTCGGACACTCTGAACAGATATCCCAGGAGAGGTACCAGTATGTTGACTGTGGAAGGAACACAACTTATCAGTTGGGGCAATCTGAGTATCTAAATGTACTTCAGCCACAACAGTAAAAACCGAAAGAGATGCCACTGGAGAAGAAATCCCTATTGATATTTTTTTGAACTCGGAAGGATGAGGTACTTACTTCCTGATAGAAGATCTTCAATTGAACAAACCTAAAGTTTACACTTCCATTTTAGGGGTACAGTTAAAAGTGTGTGGACTTGTACATTATTGCAACTCTACTCTGTGTTCATATCTGTACCAGGATCTTTTACTTGAATCTAAATTTGCTGATTTTCTTCCCCCTCCTCCCCTAATGGGGACATTGAGACTTCCCAGGTAGGACAACAAATAATTATCTATAAATCACAGCTTCAGTGACTACTGGAAACCTAATTTTGATGATGAACATAATTGGAGAAACTTTATTTCTGGATGTTTTTATAGAATATTACCGAGAACCTGTTATTCATGAAAGACTTTTAAAAAATAACTTTTTTTCTGTTTTACAAATTCCCATTGCTACATAGTAGTATTTCAGGATATTTTTTAGCTTTTAGCTAAACATTTGTAGTTTTTCATTTGTTGAAAATCTACTCATTTGCACATTTTTGACAGTCTTATTTCAAGCTAGTACTTGCATAACACTAGAAACCAAAATAATCTTTGCAAAGTTCTGTACCTAAAAATTTTTTAAAGCCCCGTTTCACATGTCTTTCCATGTAAAGTAAGTTTTGTGAAATTTTTGTGTAGTCTTCAAACATAGTTAATGTACAATATTGTAAATAAACTTTGCATGGCTTTTATACAGCTTTAATAAATATCAAAGTACAGTTTCAACAAAGTAAGTCGCTCATAAAAATAAACAGGAAAATGAAATTCAGAAACTTACAGAATGTGAATATGGTTCCAATTACATATGGGATCAGGCATAAAATAGTTTTGAAATAAAGTATTTTGATTCTCCACTTTTTTTTTAATATTGCTTTGCATACTAAGAAGTTGTGGAGATACTTTTCACAACTATTAGGTATGTAAGTCACCCATGTCATCCATTTTATACCTGTTTTAAAGAGGAAATTATGTCTTTGGTAGAAATTATCCAAGAAATTTTGTCATTAAGCGATGGTGGCTATATCAAAATTAAGAGCTGTATTATCCTTTTAAAAAATTAATCACTTTGCACTTCACATGGATATCATGACTCTAGTGGTTACATTTTAAAATTTTCAAATTTTTGTTTGGATTTTATTAAAAATTGTTTTCAAGTATAAATTACTTTTTCAGTTCGTTGTTTTATATCTTCAATACCATTTTCCATTCGGGCTTCTTGCCTTTTCACTTACCAGGTTCTGATTACCTTGTAAATACATACCACTGAGGGTAGGGGCCGACTGTGATACCAAAAAAATAAAATAAAATAAAATACGTGGCTTGAGATGAATTTCTTTCTGGTCCCTAGTGACAGAAGTCAGGTCCCCCCCCCCCCCAAAAAAAAAAGTGCCTAACTTATATCTGAAATATACCTAGTATCAGTCGGACTCCAGCTATAACACACAAGCTTTGTTTAACTATTTAGAGTGAATGAAGCCTCCTTTCTGCCTTGAAACACTCAGGTCTCTCCTTAGCTTTCATATTTTCTCCACCTTTTCCTGAGTGAACAGTTTGAATGGGTGGAATGCGCAAACTCTTTTTTTTAACTGCTTGTCTTACCTTAATCCATTGTGAACTCATCCATCTTCACTGTTAAAAGTCACCCCATCACATTTGTTACAGACTCACTGTCAAATCCAGTCTTAATGTGTTTTTCTTCTGCTGTGTTTTTTGACTACTCCCATTCTCCTTGAAACTACACACCTCTAATATATTGATTCTATTTGTATTTTTCAAATCCCTTGCATTTCATTTTCCCTGTCTTTTGACATCTTTACATGAGTATTATTTAGATCCTCTTTTGCCTCAAAATTTCTAATTCTGTAACCTTTAATTAACAACCATCTGTTAGGGCTTCCAAGTCTTTCTGTATACCTGACTGGTCACCTGTCTACCTAGAGATAATAGTATTTCAGTGACACTGTGGAAAATCATAAAATGTTTGAAAAACTTTTTAATCATATTCTGTTCTCTTGTCCTTGAGTCCTATGTACTTCAAAATCACCATTTTTTTCAAAATCATCCTTCAGATATGCCTCCTTCAAAAATCAATCCTGATTTATTTTTCTGCTCTGTATCTTTTAACCTTGGAAAACGTATGTAGTGTAAATTAAATGGAATTTTCTATTGATTTGTGGTTCTGATATCCTTTTAGAGTGCATGCATAGTGTCGCTGAAGAGATAGGAAAATGAGGGAACATTTAGTGGCTTAGTTTTAAATATTTTGTCTTCATTTTTTTGTCTTCATTTTTTTAATTAAAAATTCTTTATTATACCTACATTCCATGAAGTATAAGGTAGAAAAACCTAGAATTTAAAATAAGTGCAAATCAACAGTAGAGGAAAAGAGGATCACCTGTTACTGCTTTCAGAGAGGTTTAAGTAACTTGCCAGAATAAGCCTGGAACAGAGTAGGCTGTAAGTTAATAAAATTACAAAAACACATTCAGGTGAAACAAAATTATAGCCATTAAAAAACAAAACAAAACAAAACAAAAAAAACCCGGAAGAATGAATGAGCATTGTTCAGTGAATTTTTTTCTTGCATAATGGTAGGGTAGATATTGTGTGTTTTTGATTTTTTTTTTTTAACTGCTCTTGGGTCTTATTCAAAGGATATGGTAAAGATGTTAAATTTTTTTCCTGATACTCAAGAATAATTTTTTTCTTGAATTACACTTTTAATAGACTGGTCGTTCTAACCAAATGCAATATTATAACAAGTCTCTGTGTGTTGATATTATATCTGATACTATGGTCTTCTAGAGCTCTTTCATAATGTTTTTCTTACATAATTTTCTTATATAATTTCCCTGGTCCTGTGAGTCAAAGGATGGCAGGATCCTCATCTTTTAGAAGAGGAAGGAGATGCATAGAGAAGTTATGGGACTTGAAGAAGATTACTTACTTAATAAATAGTCATATTGGGCCCAGATCTAGTTTTTCTGTCTCCTTTGTGGGTGCTCTGTCATTTAAAATAGAGTCCATTAGGAAGCCCTGTTACTCAGGTTAGTATGAAAAAACTCAGAGAAAACATTTACTTAGTTAATAGTGACAATCAAAATAATATTGATGGACTAAGATTTGGGTACTTTTAAAGTTAGTACCGTACCTGAAATAATTCTAAATGAAAAATGAGCACTTGTACAATATTTTGGTATAGCATAAACTATAGCTGATTTTTTTCTGTTAGAATTTATACTCCTTGATCATTCCAATAAATATATGACTGATACGTTGTCAGAGTAGGCTATTTATAAATAATAGAGATTAATGTATTTGAGATTAGAAATAAGAACTGTGAAAATATTAAATACCGAATAAATTGCTTGAAATTGCTAAATGACCAGTCTTTAATATAGTATATGACATGTAAATGATTGGTTTTATTTGTGAGCAGTTTTTCGTGCCTTTTTTTTTCTTTTTTAAGCCAGTGAGGTAATTACTTTCTCTTAAGAGTTCATGACAAAACAAAATTCAATTTAGATCTTCTAAATTGTAGTTTGGAAGTGATATAGTGCAGTGTTAGAAGGAAAATGATTGCCAAAACACAAAAAATATCATTACTGCAATATAATTCTGAATGTTTTGATGTAGGTTATATCCGCAATTTTTTAAAACTTGCTTAATTCTTTATATAATGATTATATTTCATTTTGGAAAATAGTTTTGTTACGTGCTTGACCCCCAAAGTAAGTCACTGCTCAATATAACAACATTTATTAGTTATTTACTGTGTCATATACTGTAGTAATCTCTTATGTGCATTATCTGATTATTACTCAGAAGAGCCCACTAAGGTTGATACTGACAATGCCTCTCATTTTATATCTGAGGAGATTGAGTTCTAGAGAAGTTAAGAAATATACATAAGGTTGGAAGTTGCAGATTTGAGTTTCAAAACATGTCCGATTGACTCAAAAACATCATTGCTCTTAAAATTAGCATATCTTCTTTCCAGCCTTTGAGAATGTTTTATTTGTAAAAATGTATTGATTATTGCACTTAATATATAAGATTTTGAGGGTTTTGCTAGTATTTTCAAAAATACTATTAGTATACTTTATTATTTTGTAGATCTTTGGTATGATAAAAATTGTTTCTCAATGAATTTTAAAATTTTTAAATTCATATTTATCTGTTATACAGGATTTTTTTTAAAGAAAATTTTAAATTTACAAATATACATCAGACTTCTTTGGTGAGCAGTGTGAATTGAATTTCAAGTTATTAGGTTGCAAATCAAAGGTTACTTACCATTGTGTCATGATTTTTAGGTCATAATATCTGGAAGCAGCAACTACATGACTCAAATACATCTAAGAATAATTAAATTTTATTTCTCTTTTTCATAAAATCAGATTTTAAATGAGATGTTTATCTGAAACGTTTATTTTAAGGAAAATATATGTGTTTGAGAAGATGGGGTTAAAAGACTTGAACATTATTTCTTTAAAAACATTTATTTTTACATGAAAACAATATATTTGTGACGTGCTTCAATCAAAAATTTTATTCTATATCCCAGATCTTATTTCAAAGTAAAAATTTTCACTTAGCTGAAATTTCTGATTAGAACCAACATTTGTGTATTTTTGTGCTTAGTGAGAATGTAAATTTCACAGTGGATTTTTGAAATTTATCCTTACTTTGGATAAAAGCAAGTGATATATTTATAAAATTACTATAGGAATAAATTAAAAATGCTAATTTCCATTAAAAAAAACTAGTATAATTATGTTTATAGTTCTTTTTACACAAGTTTAGCACAGTCTAAATTAAATATCTGTATTGACCCTAAAACTATTCCATAAATTAATTTAACAAATATATGGCAAGTTTTTCATAGCTAAATAGCTCTTCTAGAAGGAAATTGTTGCCTTCTGTTTAATTACATTAATTGAAATGTGTTTAAGAGAAATGTTTTCAGCATATTTTGTATACTAAAAAACAAAAAGGGTTAGTATTGGGCCAATGGCCAAGAGGTAATATTACTACCATGTAGACTATTATTGTTCAAACTGTCCCACTTCCCCCAGAATTTTAGAAACTAGAAGTCTGGGAGATAATGTATCAGCTGTGGTCGGGTGATTCTAAAGTGCTGTAAGTATATTCATCTTTTAATTGTGTAAGATGGAACAAATGCCAAGTTGCAAAATATGCATAATTTTGTTATGTAATGGTTTGTTTTAGGCATAAAATACCAGCAAGCTATGCCTTGTGTTCTGTCTTATATTTCCTTATAGAACTATATTAAGTAAGATTTTTGGAAAATAATTTAAAATGCTTGCTGACTTGACCTGATCGGTCAGATACTTGAATGATGGCATTACTGGATAGATTCTAATCCATGATTCTACTTGTGGAATAAAGCATAATATAGAATGAAAGACTATGTTTGGGCACTTACTCTTTGCTAATATTATGTGTTAGCCTCCATCATAACACGCTGAATTTCCAAGTTGAGCAGTTCTATAATTGTAATTATTGTTGCTGTTCATGTAACAAAACATGCTTATATTAGTAAAAGGAATAGAAGTGCTCCCAAATGCTATTTTTTTAATTACTTGTAACTGTTGCTCTTGTAATTGTGTTTGACAAAATAAAATTTGTAAACATTTTAGCATGAAAAATAAAATTTGTATCAGGCAAGTATCTTGGTCTTAACTTTCGAAATTCCCTTGACAAAAACAAATCAATGTAGATATTGAAAGTCCTTTAGCTCAGAGCTCTCAAGTCCTTTCAGTTCTTTCCTGAATTCCACTTTTGCATCATCTTTGATTTATTTTTCTTCATCCATTTGGCTTCCATTCTGTTGTCAAATTCTGTTTTACGTCTGTAATATCTCTGGAATCTATCTCATACTTGAAATCTCTGTTACTATTACTCCCTAACTTGTTTACTGAAGAAAGCCCATTTCCTTGCTTCTGGTATTGACAACCTTACATATTTTGGCCATCCCTAAATCCACACTCTTTTTTCTTGTCATTTCCCTTCACCTCTGTCCCAGCCAGATTGAGATGTTGGCCATTCTTGGAAATAGCCCTTTCCATTATCCATGCTTTGCTCATTGTGTTCCCTTTTCCTGTGAAAATTATTTGACCATTTCTTTAATCCTCAAGCCTATCTGTTCCTCAGTGTTCAGCCCAGTGCCCCACTCGACTTTCTGACTCTTCCTGTATATTCACTCACACATTGAGTGACTTATTTTCCAAATGTGGCACAGTTTTTAAAAGAATTGTCCAATCACAAAGAAGGTTTTGGTTTTGAACTCAAAACTTTTTGCTTGAACTGAACTTAAAAACTTGTTTTAAGCTTTTATTTCAATCAATATTTACTCCATGTTTTGCAAGTTTACAACTAATGTTTTAATTATAGTTTTAAAAATCTTGTGTCCAGATGCCTGGGTGGCTCAGCAGTTTAAGCTCTGCTTCGGCTCAGGGCCTGATCCTGGAGTCCCAGGATTGAGTCCCATGTCGGGCTTCCTGCATTGAGCCTGCTTCTGTCTCTGCCTGTGTCTTTGCCTCTCTCTCTCTTTCTGTATGTCTCATAAATAGATAAATAAAATCTTTAAAAAAATAAAAATTTTGTTTCAAGTAGCATGATCTGAAATTAGATGAGATTTAACCAAAACAACTTGATAGTTATTCAATAGGGGAATAAAAAAGATCTACCTGGGTGTGCTCTGCCTAGTGAATTTCCTTTTTTTTTTTTTAATATTTTTTTTTCTTTATTTATTTATGATAGTCACAGAGAGAGAGAGGGGCAGAGACACAGGCAGAGGGAGAAGCAGGCTCCATGCACCGGGAGCCCGACGTGGGATTCGATCCCAGATCTCCAGGATCGCGCCCTGGGCCAAAGGCAGGCGCCAAACCACTGTGCCACCCAGGGATCCCCTACCTAGTGAATTTCCAAAGGGAGAAAGAAGAATCACCAGCAAATTTGTGAGAGTTTTTTTTTCTGGTAGATTTCTGTTCTTTTGATCTGTGGTTTTCAGAATTTTTTATTATTTTAGTTGTGAAACCTATTTTTAAAGTAACATCTTACATACAACCCCATTATGACAAAACCTAACTACTTTGACTTTGGAGCAGAATGCATGCAGTCCAAGACAACTCCTTCCACAGTAGAAGAGGAAGCCAACCTGCAGCCACTTCTTTACTGATAACTTAGGGCAACTTAACAAAATTCCTTTTGTGTATGACTAGCACATTTTTAGTAACTGAGCAAATACAAGCTTAAATTTATTTTTTTAAGTTTATATTTTATGAATAGTTTTTTTTTTTTTAAGATTTTATTTATTCATGAGAGACACAGAAAGAGAGAGGCAGAGACACAGGCAGAGGGAGAAGCAGGCTTCATGCTGGGAGCCTGACTTGGGATTCGATCCCAGGTCTCCAGGATCACACCCTGGGCTGAAGGTATCACTAAACTGCTGAGCCACCGGGGCTGCCCTTATGAATTGTTTTAAAATGACACAGGGAGCTCATGGAATTCCTAACTTTCTAATTAGTGATTTTCCATTTTTACATATATTTCAAATTATTACTTTTTACTTATTTATGTTTTATTTATTCATGAGAGACACAGGTAGAGGGCGAAGCAGGCTCCATGCAGGGAGCCCAATGTGAGACTCAATCCCGGGTCTCCAGGATCAAAGGAAATTAAGAGAAAAAAAGGTTTGAGACTTTGGGCAATGTGTATCATCTTAAAGTGATTATATAATGAATTTATTTTTATTTTATTTTTTTAAAGATTTTATTTATTCATGAGAGATAGAGAGGCAGAGACACAGGCAGAGAGAAGCAGTCTCCTCACAAGGAACCTGATGCAGGAATCAGTCCCAAGACCAGCATCACGCCCTGAGCCAAAGGCAGACACTCAACCTCTGAGCCATCCAGGCCTCCCATGAATTTATTTTTATTTAATGGATTCCAGATTCATGAATAGAATATATTGATAATAGCATTTTTTTAAGTTACCAGAAGAGAATAGAACTACAAAGAATTCCAATCCCATATCTGCTTCAGATATTTAATTCTTAAATTTTAAAGGGTGCACTTCCTAAACAAAACTGAGTTTTCTGCCCTGTTGATAATTTGTGAAGAATTATTTCTGCTGTTTAGAACAAATACAAATGGAGATAATCAGGCATATGTAATAACCTATGTAAAGTTAAGAATAAGATTAAAGTCAGATTCTTTTAAATGGTGTTTACTAAAATGTGAACTTTCATGGATTTGAAATTGTCTGATTTGAGTAAAAAGACTTTTTCTATTTACATCCTAAAATAAATTTTAAAAAATACATCCCTACTTGTTATGTTTTACCTTTGAGTCCTCACCAGGTAACTTTTGTGTTTTTAACTTAAGCAATATGGAATATTGCTTTAGAAATTGTAAAACTACGTTATTTGAATATTCACATTACTTAGCACACTTAATTTAAAAGCAGCACCTTAAACCAATATCTTCCTTATAGAGACCACTTTTAGGCAAACAGGTTTGAGCTGTGGGATGCAGGAGAGGGTCACAGCAACCTCCTGGCTAAATACAGATGGGCCCATCAGTTGACCCACCTCAAAACCTCCAAATGGCCCTAATTTACCAGTGGGCTACTTAAAACCAGGCACAGGTTCCCCAAAAGGGAAGATCCCATATGTTGCCATACCTCTCCATCCTCCCTCTTTAAAAACAGCCCCTACTGTAGGTCAAGCTAACATTTTACTGTATGAAGAAGACTGTATGAAAAAACCACAGTAATTGATTTAAGTAGGCTGTATTTTGATGCTAAATTGCCAATAATTTTCACATCACCTACTGTGTGATTTATAATCATGTATTTGGTCTTCATCACATTCCTGGTACTGCGGTCCTAAAACCTTGGAATTTCTTAAGTGATAGGAGTGATAAAAATGCCTTCTCTTATTTATAGCAAGCCCCTTTCAATCATAGCCGAATTTATGTTAATGATGTGGTATTTGGAAAATTCCTAAGGGTGGGACTGGTTGCTGGGAAAGCCAGCTATTAGAGGTTGGAACTGGCAATGTGACCCCTGAGATTTTTGCAGAAGGGTGGGGGAGACCAGAAATGGAGCTCAGTTATCAGTGTCTGGTGATGTAATCAGTCATGTTTGTGTAATGAAGCTTCCATAAATACCCAGAATGACACAATTTGGAAAGCTTCCAGGTTGGTGAAGGCATCCAGATGCCAAGGGGGTGGCAAGTCTCAGTTCTATGGACACAGAAGCACCTGTACTGAGGACCTTCTGTACCTCACCCAGTGTACCAATTTATTAGGCTGTTCATCCATATCCCGTATAAAAAACTGGCAAATGTTTCCCTGAGCTCTGTGAGCTATTCTAGCAAATTGAATTCAAAGAAGGGGTCATGAGAACTCCAGGTTTTAGCCTGTGACTCCAAGTACAGCCAACAATCTGGACTTGAAGTTGGTGTCTGAAGCGGGGGCAGTGTTGTGGGGCTGAACCCTTAACCTGCAGGATCTGATGCTATCTTCAGGTAAATATTGTCTGGATTGAGTTACATTTGTAGGATACCCAGTTGATGTTCACTGAAAATTGGAGAATTGCTTGATGGTGTGGGAAAGCAAACCATCCACTGATTACTTTTTATCCCTCAAGTATTTTGCCTTTTATCCATACCTCTGGTAGGAAACAAAAATGCCCTTTTAAGTAGAAGGCTTTCTGAAACTGGGTGATCACTTAGTTCTGTGTTACCTGAAGTGGATGATGGCCGCTGGTAACTCACAAGAGACAAGGAAAAATGAACTAATTTTATAAACCTGAAATGTGATTCTCAGATGCAGAATATTAAAAAGCCAACACTTTCTACAGAGCCACTCAGCACTCCAGGGGAAACTTGATCTGTAGGAATAATAATAAGCTATAATGTTAATAACCAAGTGCACCTCACAGGGGTACTAAGCTTTAATGACTCAATATTTGTGGAATTCTTTGAGCACCTCCGAGGTTATATAAGCATAAATGAATAAGTAGGGATATCATATACCATAGTTATTTCTACATTAAATCTCTCCTGATAATTTCTTATAATATCTTATACGGTAGACACTGTATGAAGCTAATATATGAACAAAGTTATGGAAAAAATAAAGTACAAAATCTTACATTGTAGTGACTTCCAATGAAATAATTATACTCTCATATTAGTGAACGAGAATGGAGTCATTAATTGCACCTCTAAGAACTCATTCCTAGGTTGTAAAGTAGGAAAATGAAAATCTGGAATAGACAATATATAAATGACTATAAGGAATTTGAAAAAGCACTAATTTTTTTAATGGAAGGGACAGCTAAATTTTTTTTACATTGAAAAAATTATGATATTTTCTGTTTAATTTATTAATAGAAATTATATATATTATTTTTATACATATTCTATTCCTCTTTTCCAGTCTCACTTCCATTACTAACATTATATATACAGTATGTTACTTTTAATGCTCCTAGGTTTTAAAAAAAAAATCTTTACAAGAAGCCTGTGTATCTTTTATCATATTTTCCAAAATGTGCCAATGTGATTGTAGTATTTTCCTCATTTAAACTTAGGTGTCTAAAGATAGAATACATTAACCCAAATGATCTCTTCAACAAGTTTTGCTGTAATATGATATCCACCAATGAAAGATTCATTTTTCCCAGTGAGTATCATCTTTTAAAATAAAAAAATCCTCTGAGAGTATTCTGTTGAGACTGCTCTTCCCATCCTTGCTTTTTGCCTTTCCCTTAGGTGGCATCACTTTCCTTAAGATAAAGGGAATTTCTAGAAGGAAAGGGAAAATAATAAGGTCATATCCTTATGAGGAAAATAATTCTGGGTGAGATAACTATCAAGTTTTGAGCAGGTTTCTCATCTTGAAAGGGCAGAGGGGACATAGAGAAGTGGGAAGACATCAATACAAAAGCCACATGCTTTATGTGCTGCCTAGGAGCAGATGGGATTGTCAATGAGCATCAAAGTCATATATCTCTGATCATATTTTCTGTTCACTGGACATTCTTGCCAGCATTCTGCTTTTTATTTACAGCATTGACATTTGAACACAGTTAACTGTTCTACTAAATTTTCTAACTAAATTTTGTCCCTCTGGTAGCACTGTGATCAGTTCATCTCTTAGACTTGGACAACAGAGGTCTTTATCTACCCAGGCAGGTGCTGGAGCTCTGGAGCTGTTTTTCACCATGTCACTCCTTATAGGACTAAGGGCATGTGGTCATCCAGAGACCACATTCTGCCTTTAGACCATACCATGGGTAGCTGGGACTCTGGATGCCTGTTCCACAAACCGTGAGCCCACTTTTCAGCCCAGTGTACTCATCCTTACATCCCAAGGGTGGGCAAGAGACAGCTGTTAGC